ATACAAAAATTAGCCAAGCGAGGTGGTGTGCACCCTAATCCCAGCTACTCAGAAGGCTGACAGGAGAATCGCTTGAACCCAGGAGGCAGAGGTTGCAGTGAGCCAAGATCGCACCACTGCACTAAAAAAGCAGATGAGGCGCTTCACTCAGACCCGCTCAGTCCCCCCTGCCCCACACCAGCAGTGTCACTGGCTCAGCCTCACGTGCTCCAGTCTCAGGGAAGGGAAATGCCAAGTCCCTCGCTGGCATCTGGAAAACAATAAGGCAGCTGCAGGGGAAGTGACTAATGAGCACTTCAGGGAGCAATTCGGGACAGCACACATGGAAACTGATCTCATTCAAAATTGATCAGTTAACACTATCTAATTAGAGAGAAAATGCGCTGAGCACCCGGCTTTCTGGGAGCACAGTCGAGGCTGTGGCACCCAGCTAGCCTGCAGAGGAGCCACATCTCATCTCTCAGACCAGACCCAGGACTGTCCTCCCTGTTCCCTGCACCTATGCTGCATCTCATAGACATGCAAAATAGAGCCGAATGGAGGAGAGCTTCTAATCCAGCTTGCTTCTTTCATAGACAGAACTAAGGCCCAGAGAAGTTAAATCACTTGATCAATATCACACAGCAATGGAGCAGGACCCGCAAGAAAGCCAGTCTTTGGGGTCCCAGTCAAGACCATTTATCACCATCTGGTGACACTGCCCTGACTTTCCTGGGTGGAGTTCTCAAAGCTCTGGACAGGTCACTGGACATGGTGTTCCTCCTGTACATCATCCATTGTGGCTCCCAGGTCCTAAAAGTGGGGCTGCCCTCACTCCTTACAATCACCACTTTCATCTCTGGTCCAAAAACCAGCTCCTCTAGGCAGTCTTCCAGGGTTGTTTCGCCCACACCTACTATTTCATTCATGGGTTGACTCATTCATTCCGTGTACATTCTGTGGTTAAGAGCTTGGGCTCTGGAGTCAGACTGCCTGGGTTTAAGTCTCATCCCTCTTGTGTAGTTGGGCAAGGCACTTGACCACTCTAAGCCTGTTTCCTTTAAGAATAATACAAACATATTCCTCCAAACCTCGCAAGTGAGGATCGGAAGAGATCATCATGTCTCGCACTTCTCAGGGTACCCAGCAAACAGTAGTCCTGATGTGAGTACTAATTAGTCTGCACTGACAACCGAGAACTTGTGCTTAAGAAGGAAAAGAAATGAGACAGTCCCCGCCCAAGACATGGACAATATGGCTAAGAGCAGGAATCAAGATTTGAGACTTTATGATGGAATGTCAGAGGAGGTATACTTAACCCAGCCAGCCTCGGTGGGGAGGGTCAGGGGAGATTTTCCCTGGAGGAAACACCTAAAGCTGAGTGTTAAAGGGTGAATAGACATTAGGAAGGTGAAGAAAGGAAGACCAGCATTCCAGACAGGAATTCATGTGAGCAAAGACAGACAACAGCATAGCATGGGATTCTGTTTGTTTTTGTTTTTATTTTTTTGTTTTTAGAGTTGTGGTCTCACCCCATTGCCCAGGCTGGAGTGCAGTGGCATGATCACAGCTCGCTGCAGCCTCAATCTCCTGGGCACAAGCCATCCTCCCACCTCAGTCTCCTGAGTGGCTGGGACTACAGGTGTGCACCACCATGGCCAGATTTATTTTTTGTAGAGAAAGTGTCCTATGTTGTCCAGGCTCATCTCAAACTCTACCTCCTGGCCTCAAGTGATCCTCCTGCCTTGGCCAGCATGTTATGTTTCAGGAAACTCAACAGTTCAATGTTGTTGGAGTCACAAGTATGAGACTTGAGAGGAACGCAAACAAGCATGGGGAGGTGGCAGGGACTGCGTCATGCAGGGCATCTCGTGCCATGGAAGAGCCAGGACATGATGTTGCAGATGGCAGAGAACCTGGAGGTGAACTTGAAGCAGAGGAGGGACATGGTGAGGTTCGTGGTTTAAACAGATCGTTCCGATTCTGTGGGATATGTTTTCTCTGCTTCCCTTCAGCGATGCCACCACCCTTGCTTGGTTGATCTCTAATGGTCATAGAATGTGCTCTAACCAAGCCTGTCACAAAGGCTCAAGTCCCATATTCTGTGAACCACAAATGTTCCCAACAACAGAGTCACCACACCCGTTGATACGGTTTGGCTCTCATGTGGAATTGTAATCCCCAGTGTCAGAGGTGGGGCCTGGTGGGAGGTGATTGGATCATGGGGCACAGTTGTCATGAACAGGTCAGCACAATCCCTTCAGCGCTGTTCTCATGATTGTGAGTGTGTGAGTTACGTGAGAGCCGGTTGTTGTGTTTCTCCCCTCACTTCCTCCTGCTCCAGCCATATGAAGTACTGCTCCCGCTTGTCTTCTGCCATGACTTAAAGCTCCCTGAGGCCTCCCCAGAAGCGGAGCAGAAGCTGCTATGCTTCCTGTACGGCCTGCGGAACCGTGACCAATTAAACCTCTTTTCTTTAGGAATTACCCAGTTTCAGGTATTTCTTTATAGCAGCGTGAGAAGGGACTAATACACCTGTCAAACAGGGCTTACTCCTGTTCAATTAGGATCCTTTGAAACAACTCTGAGCCCTTTGCAGGCAGGGACTGTCATTCATCTTATATCTCCAGGCACAAAATACACATTCACAAATGTTTGTTGGGGAATAAATGCCCATCCACGAGCCAGGCATGGTGGCTCACACCCGTAATCCCAGCACTTTGGGAAACCGAGGCTGGTGGATCACCTGAGGTCAGGCGTTCAAGACCAGCCTGGCCAACATGGTAAAACCCCATCTCGACTGAATACAAAAAATTAGCCAGGCGTGGTGGCACATACCTGTAATCCCAGCTACTTGGGAGGTTGAGGCAGAATTGCTTGAACTTGGGAGGTGGAGGTTGTAGTGAGCCGAGATGGCGCCATTGCACTCCAGCCTGGGCAACAAAAGTGAAACGCCATGTCAATGAATGAATGAATGAATGAATGCCCATCCACGATACCAACTTTGAGCATTCCAGAGGCCCTGTGGGACCATCAGCATCCATTCCCCAACTGGGGTTTTCATGGCCTATGATCAGGATTGCAGAGGGTGTCAGAGAGTGGCCTCGTTTGTCGTGTGGTTTGCTTTTTAATTTTCCCACAGGTTGTTGCTTTTTAGATTTTCCACTAGAATTCTGAATGAATTTGGATTCTAAAGACTTCCTTCCAGCCTCCACTCACTAGGATCTGGGGTGTGATTGGTGCTTCCCGAGGTGGTGCTCGGCTTGTATGATGCTGTGTATTGACGCTAACACTCGTTGTCTCACGGACAGCTGCCCTTTTTAGCCTCCCAGACCCCATGTGATAAAAAGCAAAGATTGCAGGCTTTATAGTCAGACCGTGGTAGCCTTGAACAAGTCACATAACCTGTAAAAGGGGGATGTGGCCTCCTCTGCTGGTTTGCTGTATTAGAAGGAATACCTGTGAAGAGCCTGACATTGCTGGGCTTGTGATAATATGTGGATACAGGCAAAATGTAACCCCACTGAGCCCCATTAATTGGGAGGTAACAATATTCACTGCATAGGGCCACACTCGTGCAAATAAAGTGCCTGGCCTGGACAGTCAAACCACCAACAGCAACTATCAAGATGATTCCTGCCTAACACTGGCTGCCTAGGAGTCAAGTGAGCACAGGGCTGATCTAGGTGAGACTCAAAATTCACCAACATCATCCCACAGTCGGTTCAGAACTGATTTCCTGCTTTCCCTTTTCCGTCATCCCTCCTGCCAGCCTCGGTTCCATACATCCATTTAGGCCCCATGCAACCCTTCTGGAGATGGGGCTCTTCAAATAGGTGGGAACTGCCAGTGATAGCTGAAGTAGAGCATGTGACAGGCTCAGTCCCCAGCAGGCTAGGACCACGCAGGGTCCTCGCACCCAGGGGGTCCAGGCGCATGCCAGCTTCCTGAGGCAGGAGCTATGTGCCGTTCCTGGGTCTACCACGACGGGGAGCTCAGTTGGGAAGCTCAGTGGGGAGGAACACTCGGGATGAAGTTGGAGGCTGTCCAAGACAGAGGTGGGCTGGGGAAAGCAGCCTGCCCACCCCTTTCTAATCTCTTTGATCAGATTTATCCATGAAAGCTATGCCACGGGCTGAATTCAGATAGATTACCATGCAAATCCCCCTGGGCCAGTTCATTCACCTGCTATTACAAGCTAAGTGCCAGAAGGACAACGAAAAGGAGACAGAGGCTTCCAAGGTGTGCAAAGAGTTCATTCCCATCAGTAGCCTCTCACCCCACCCCACCCTCCAGCACCTTGTGTAAAACCGGGGTCTTCGTACTTCACTGGAAGGACTCGGTATTGGCAAGTGGCTTCTCACCACAACTTTTGCCTGTTCCTCTAGTGTGGCCACCAATCCTCCTCTGCCGACTTGGGAACATGTCTCTTGTGTTGTTAGCACTGAGGGAATTCGCTGGCCCTACACCGATGAGCAGAAGATGAGGGCTTTAGAGATAGCGTGGGGTTTAAATTCAGACCCGTGACTTACGAGCTCTGTGCCCTCGGCCCAGTGAATGGACCCTCTCCAGGCCTACTTCCTCACCTGCACAGCAGACCCCAGGGCTCGGCCTGCAAGGGTTTTGTGAGGATGAATCCACTCTGAAGTGAGTTTGAAACAGCACAAGAGCTTGTGCACAGCAGCACTGCTAAATGTTCATTTCCTCTTTGCTGTCCCCCAGTGACCCATCCCATTCTCCCAGCAGGTAGAATCTCACTGCCCTGGTTTGTAGGATGTCGCGACAGACTTCTTAGAAGACTGTCAGCAAGGCCAGGTATGACCCTCAGGCGGGCTGTCCAGATTCCTCCCCAGGGGGCCGGCATCACATCATCTGGGGGAGCCCCAAACCACTACAGCTGAGGAAAAGGACACAGAGGCCTCAAACTCCCCACCTGTCACTCCATTGTGGCAGGGATTCAATCCCATCCTGGGGACACCTCAGCTTAGCCATTAACTCTTAACAAAGCAACAGGCTAGCACTCGTTTGCAACACGTTTAATTTGTGCTGTTCACACTGGACACTGCACTGCACTAGTGCCGGCCCCTGAGAGCACCCCCTGCACAAAGGAAGATGAGATGAATATTCAGAGGCAACAAAGGGCAATAAAAACGCTGTGTGTGAACTCTCACTACTCAGAGGTGGCAAAAGGCAGCCCCACTTGTCTTGCACTCAAAGGCTCACCAAGGGCTGATAAGGGGCAAACGGTGACACAGGGAGGGGCTCACACCAGAAGAAGCAACAGGAGCACACCAAGGATGTTGACGCTGCGACGGGCTGGATGGGGAGTCCCGAAAGGCCATTTGCTCAGGGCACTGGCCAGCTGCTTTTCCTTGTGAAAGCCTTGTAAGGAAGCTGTGAAGCCAGGACACTAGGACAGCGGCATCCACACTGCATTCTTTGGGAGGCGAGGCCTTTGCGCCTCATTCTCCAGGAGGGAAAACCAGGGGCCATCCCTGAGCTCTCCCAAGTGGTAGGAGTTCAAATCAGGGCCAGTGGCAAAACCAGGAGGGCTGCCTGACCAACTGCCCCTCATGTGATCTCTCTTCAATCTGTTGCCCAGGGCCCCATGCATCTGGGCAGAAGCAGATGTGCCGACTTCACTTTCCTTTATCCTCTATGCACATGTGCAGGCGTTTAGGAGGCAAGCAGACGAGGGGAAAAGAGCACAGGTTGACCTGCCCAGCCTGACAAGTCTGAAGAAAGACTATTTCCCTGGGCATGAGCAAAAGAAGAAAAGCTGCAGCAGTCTTCGGAGGCCGCACCCGAGGCATCTGCTGTACTCAGGGCCCAGCCTTTCCTCCCCTCTGACAGAGTCCTCCACCAAGTCCACAACAATCAACGATTCACCAGCAAGAACCAAAAGACACAGGAACAGAAGTGCTGTTGATCACTGGCTTTGGTACTTAAGCGATGATGCATTTTCAGTCACACTCACACAGATCTGGCTCCTGGGAGGAGACGCCATGCCACAGCACCCTCCCAGGGCAGGGCTCTGATTCTCAGGCCCCAGATGGACAGGGTCCCCTCTCGGGTGGGAAAGGCAGCATGTTGCCGTTGGAGGAGTGGGTCTGGAGAGTTTCTACCCAATTCCTCCTTCAATCACACCTGGAGGTGACAGCTACCCCCACCACTGCTCCTCCAAAGGCCTCGAGATAAAAATCCCTGGAAAGGGGGCAGGGGTGCTTCCATGTCAAGCTGTGTGGCTTCCAAACCCTTAGCTGTTGTACAGGGGTATCACCCGGGTGATCGCCTGTCTGCAGATAGGGCACCTCTTGGGCTCTGGCAAGGCGCGGTAGCACTCACTGCAGGAACAGACGTGCCCACATTCCAGAAAGACGCAGGACTTGAAGCTGCTCAGACACACGACACAGGCGCTCTTGAGACTCTCCCTGTCCTCAGGCTTGGCTCGGCTCAGCAGCTGGGCCTCATGCTCCTGGAACTCCTCCTGCATCTGCTTGAGGCGCAGGCGCTCCTGCCGCTGCAGATACTGCTTCCGGAGGATGAAGAAGAGGGTGGCACACGTGGCAAAGCCAAAAACCAGCGCCAGCACCTTCCAGAGTCTGACGCTCGACTCCTGCCTCTGCAGCAGGCTGTCGAAGTCCTGACTGCTGAGATAGTACTGCATGCCTTGTTTGGGCGGTTGCAGGCGGACAGAGTTGTTGTCCAGGACCAGTTCGCCAACCCCTGTGAGGGTGGCTCCAACCTTCAGCATCTCCTCGGTCTCCTGGATGCCTTTGGGACGCTCACCGCTGATGTAATGGCCAATGACATCGGTGAAGGACTGAATCGAGGGGTGGAACTTCTCATACACGGTCTCTAGGCCCAGATCCACTGAGTCCAGGGGCTTCAGTATGCGCACGGCCACACCCACGCCGTCCTCATGGGGCACAAGGTCAAAGGGCACTGTGTTGGTCCTCTGATGAATGATTTTGGAGCAATCGTTCCTAAAAGAAGAAGAGAACTGAAGATAAAGGGTAGCAAACACCAAAGACCCAGGCAGAGCTGGAGATCAGCTAAATGCGGAGGACAGTGTGGAGTCTGAAGTGCCTGGAAGAAGACAGTAAGATCACTATCTCCAGGTGCCTCCTAACAAGGAGGCTCCAGTTTTAGGTCCTGGGGCGATTATCGGTGGGCAAGAAACACCGCCACAGACTGCAGAAACCATTCATTTCCCTTTCCACTGTAAAACAAACATCTAAAACAAAACCCAGTAGGACCAGTTGAAAAATTGATATTTCATGTGATGGCACAAAAACATTTTAGGAAATACTGAAATTACTAATTCATAAATCAGTGGTTCTCAAGCTTCAGTATGCCTAACAACAGATTCCAGGTCCCCGATCCTGAAAATTCTTGGGTAAGTCTGGAAGGGAGCCCAGAAATCTGCATTTCAACAAGATGCGTAGGTGATTCTGATGAGGGAGGCCCACAGATAACACACAAGAACATGACCCGCATGAACAGAATGGTCTTCCACCTGTCTCAGGAGAAGCTGAAGACACAGCAACAGCACCCAGGACCACAGGGTCTGAATGGACCAACTGCAAGGGTTTTGGCCAGTGAAGAAGTGATACATACCAAAGGTGGGTGGTTCGATTCCACACCATCTTGTGCTCCTGAAGTGTCAGCCGCTGAATTACCCCCTTGCAGTTTTCCACAAACTGGCTGTTAAGTGTTTCTTTAACAGACCGCACAGCTCCTAAGTGGACACAAATTCTATTATTTCCGAAGAATTTTTCTGCCCTCTCCTTTCAGGTAATTTAAAATGTGTTTTCTGCTTTGGCATAGTAGCTCCCACCTACAATCCCAACACTTTGGAAGGCCAAGACAGAAGGATCACCTGGGGCCACGAGTTTGAGACCAGCCTGGTCAACGTAGAGAGATTCCATCTTTACAAAAAATAAAGTTAGCAGGGCATGGTGGCATGTGCCTGTAGTCCCAGGTACTTGGGAGGCTGAGGCAGGATAATCACTTGAGCTCAGGAGTTTGAGGCTGCAGTGAGCTATGATTATGCCACTATACTTCACGCCACCATACTACAGCCACCTGGGTGACAGAGTCAAGACTATCTGAGACAGAGTCTCACTCTGTCACCCAGGCTGGAGTGCAGTGATGCAATTTTGGCTCACCGCAACCTCCGCCTCCCAAGTTCCAGTGATTCTCCTGCCTCAGCCTCCCAAGTAGCTGGAATTACAGGTATGTGCCACTGTGCCCAGCTAATTTTTATATTTTTAGTAGAGATGGGGTTTCACCATGTTGGCCAGGCTGGTCTCAAACTCCTGAGCTCATGTGATCAGCCCATGTCAGCCTCCCAAAGCGCTGAGCTGTACAGGCATGGGCCATCACTCTTGGCCTCAAAAAATTCTTTTTATTTTAAAAATTGTAAAAATTAAATGTTTTCAGTTGACTTTTGCTAATTTATCAAAACAATGACATTCTGATCACCATAAGTCACATTCTAGAATCACTCTCCTAAGCACTTTGCCTGGATCACATAATTTGTCTTATAACAACCCCATAAAGGTAAGCATTATTTTCGAGATCAGGCAAAAGTGGCTCACAAAGGTTTGGTAATCTTAGAGATCACAAAGCAATAACCCATGACTTTCTGACCCCAAAGTATGTTCTGGACCATGGACCCAATACCACAAAAGGCATTTAAATTAGCCAAGATTATCTTTATCAATCTTTTGGAAAAAGGAAGTTATTTTCCATTGACCAAAAAGCAAACATACCTTCTATAACAGCATAAGGCACACATTTTCCTGGAGCTTCTGAAAGAATACTCTTTAAATCTTCACCCAAGTGAACTTTTTTAGCTCCCTAAATGCAAAAAAAACAACAACAACAACAACAAAAAAAAAAACCATAAATAAATTAGCCATTGAACACTGACATGCTCAATCAAACTTAAGGGCAAAAAAATAAAGATTCTATTTTTGTGTGTGTCAAGAGAATAAGGAAATTAGACAGGAAGGTGACTACAGAGAATCAGATTTCAAAGCTGTGTACGTCAACAGGAATGGAGCCATGCCTCTGCCCCCTTCCATCACTGGAGAATGGGGGTGCCACATACATTCTTTTTCCAGTTAGCCAAAACCCACACTCCTTTTCATGTAAGACTTTTTAGTGAAAATAGAAAAGGAACTAGTCAATTTACATACCACAGACTGAACATCATTCAATCTCTTCTTGACAACACAAAGCTATGATCAAAGGGTTCAGGTCTAAAGCACCTAATCTATTGCCTAGCACATGGTAGTGGTTTGAGAACTGGTAGGTGTGATTATTAATAGTACCACATCTGCATTGTGTATTATTAAAAATACAAGACAGGAGGCTGCCTTTGCTTCAACAGGGCAAGTCTCTGTTGACTGGTGCCAAATGCCATTCTATTTTATTCATTTTTTTTTTTTTTTTGAGATGGGGTCTCACTCTGTTACACAGGCTGGAGTGCAGCAGTGCAATCACGGCTCACTGCAGCCTCAACCTCCCAGGCTCAAGTGATCCTCCCACCTCAGCCCCTCAAGTTGCTGAGACCACAGGCATGCATCAGCACATCTGGCGAATTTTTTTATTTTGTAGAGACAGGACCTCCCAATGTTGCCCAAGCTGGTCTTGAGCTCCTGAGCTCAAGCGATCCTCCTGTCTCGGCCTCCCCAAGTGCTGGGATTACAGGTGTGAGCCACGGCACCCAGTCTGTTCTACTTTTTGCCTTTTTCACGGTCATAATTAAGTGAGTACGGTTCCTTCTGCTGCTGTCTTCCTCTAACAATCCCTAGTTCTCCTCCCAATTCCAACTCAGAGTGTCCAACCCACTGCACTAGGGAAACCAAGTCTGTTACTGCTGTTTCAAAAATAAAGCAAAAGGAATAAAATCAACAATCATTTCCTGAGCATCTATGTGCCAGGCACTGTGCTGGATGTTAGAGATTCAGAAAAGAATAAAGGACCATCTCTGCTTTCAGGGTATTCCCAGAAACAACTCTTAAGAATGTCAAATTCAGTAACCTCTAAAGAGGTGATGAGATACGAGATGTATATGAAGGTCACTCTGAGTTTAAGCTACTGCTACACAGTAAATGACAGGAACAAGGTCAATCAAAATTTCTTAGCTACTGACACTGAAGATACCACAATAACAGCAATAACAACTAACAATTTACTCAGGTATTATCCGTCTCCCTCCACTAAAATGTTAAACCCTAGGAGGGCTTAGACATTTGTTTGTCTTGTTCACTGCTATCCCCCTATTGCTGATAACTGCGTGACGCACAGCAAGCATTTATATTATTTGATGAATAAATTAATGAATAAATAAGCATTTAAATATACTATGTACCAGGCAATATGCTAGGCACTTTAAATGCATAAACCACTTAATGCTCACACCATCCCTATACAGTAGACATTATCATCACCAAATACAGATAAGGAAACAGGCTCAGAGAGGTGAAGTGATTTGCCCTGAGTCAGACAGTAAAGTATTCATCACAGGATGGCCAATTGGAATTTTAAAGGGGGAAGAGGAAGAATACGATCAGAAAGATCTGGAGTTGAATCAAGCTCCAGTGCATCCACCGTGACTTGGGACAACTTCATTTATCTGAGTCTCAGGTTCCAAAACCATAAAGGATGGGGAAAACGCAATTTCACAGGATTTTTATGTGGGTTAAATGAACTTTAAGGTGTGAAAGAATCCCAGCCCAGAGGCTGGCACATAGGAGGTATGCAATCAGTATGCATTCTCCTCACTATGACAGATACACAGGATAGGACACAAGCCCCACGCAGAAGTTTTTTCATCTGATCAAAAAATAGAAACTAGAATGGGCACATAGCTCAGACCTGTAATCCCAGCGCTCTGGGAGTCCAAAGTGGAATGGCTGCTGGAAGCCAACAGTACAAAACCAGCATGGGCAACATGCAAGACCCCATCTCTACGAACAATAAAAACTAGCTGGGCATGGTGGCGAGCACCTGTAGTCCTTCAGGAAGACTGGCTTGGGCCTGGGATCACGAGGCTGCAGTGAGCTATGTTGGTGCCACTGCACTCCAGCCTGGGCAACAGAGTAAGACCCTGTCAAAAAAACAACACCACACAGGAAAAAAGAAAGAAAAGAAATGAAGGACAGGAAGGAAAGACAAAGAAAAAGAAAAGGAAGGAAGGGAGGGAGAAAGAAAAGAAGGAAACAGAAAATAGAATCTAAAATATTAAAGACTCCCGACTCTTTTTCCAGGAAGGGGCTATTTCATCCTCATTTAGGAACTGATTGGCAAAGGTTTTAAGGTCACACAAAGATGGGGCCTAAAGAGTTCACTGCTTCAAAAAATCCCACTTCCAGCCAACTTGAAGCCAAAGTGGTTTGGAGTCAGAAAGTGAAGTATCAGTTTCACAGAGCTAATCACTTCAGGAGTAACTTGATTATTTAATTAGGTGAAATACAGGGCAGCTGGAATCTCACTAGATTGCCACTGCATAGCAAATTCAGTTGCCTCATAACTTGGTTCTTCCCAGATTCCAAAAAACTCCCTTCATAGCAGGGATTTCACACATTGGTGTTTGTGTGTGTGTGTGTGTGTGTGTGTGTGTGTGTTTTCAAACATTGGGGTGTGTGTGTGTGATGGAGTTTTGCTCTTATCACCCAGCCCGGCCCACACATTGGTTTCTAAACCATTACTGAAAACAATATGATAATGAAGTTATTCAGGTTTAGGAATCCATCTTTCATAGAAACATCAAATTAAGTTAGGTCTTTAGCTGTTGTCTTGTGAAACTTCAGCCAAAAAGAACCCACAAACACGTACTGACCATCTACCGCTTGTCAAGTACTATGTTAGAAGTAGAGGAAAGAAGATGGATAAATACCTTGTCTCTGACCTAAAGAGGCCCATCTCTCTGGACCAGTCAGATAGTCACAATAAAGCAATGTCAATCAGATTAAAATCCTACCCTTGGAATCAAAAAAACCTAAATTTAAGTTTCAAGCTGACTAGCTGTATGGCCTTTCCTCCAAAAGGAAAAGCCTTGCCTCTCAATTTCCTCATTTGCAATGTGGTGGTAACTGTCATTTTATCTACTTCAAAAAATTATGGGCCAGGTACAGAGAGAGAGAGAGAGAAAGAGAGAGAGAGAGGGAGAGGGAGAGACAGAGAATATCAACATGAAAATGTGGCCGGGCACCCTGCCTCTACTAAAAATACAAAAAAATTAGCTGGGCGTGGTAATCCCAGCTACTCATGAGGCTGAAGCAGGAGAATCGCTTGAACCCGGAAAATAATGCAAATGTGTTGTGTAAACTGTAAAGCACAGTTAAAAAAAAAAGAGCGCCATTTAAAAAATAACTAATATAAAAAAGGAAGCGTCTGTAAAGCAAGGAGCGGAGTGGTTCAGTAAATGGATATCTGCACTTGCTGTTTCCTCCGTCTTCCCGCTAGGTATCTGCAAGACCCCTCATCTCCTCCTGGGCACTGCTCAAATGTCACCTTATTTAAATAGGAGATCCCCCTTTCTCCAGCATTCCATGTCCTCTCTCCCCTACCTTACTCCAAAGCACTGCTCATCATCTGTCACACCTCCTGATTTACATGTTTGCTGTCGTACTAAAATGGAATCTCCATGACGGGACGAAAGGAGGGACTTTCATCTGTTCTCACTGCCTGGAGCATCCCAAGTGTTCAATAAGTATTTTTCGAGTAAAGTAATGAAGTCAGGATTCATTCTGAGTCATAAGAGGGACTTGGGAGAAAAGGAGAGGAGCATCCGTTATCCCGAGCCCTAATCCTGCCCCACACTCCTCTATTTACTGGCTGGATAACACCCTTCAGAGGCTGTTTCCTTTTTTGGACAGTTTCCGACGCTGGGGCGGCCAGCGTGAATCGTGGGCTCCCAGGACCTGGGACAGAGAGGAGCCGGCTCAGGCCAGGCCGGCTCCAGCACTGACCTTGAGCTCTTGGGAGATCCGGGCCTTCTGCCGGTACACGGAGTACAGGGCGGCGGTGACCACAGAGGTGGTGCCCAGGAGGATGAACTGGCACAGCGAGGGCCGCCCTCCGCTATCCATGGCGGCGCCGAGCCTCGGTGGCAGTCTGACGCCGAGGATAGGCCTGGTGACCCCCAACTCTCCACTTCCCTCCGCCCAACCGCACTCCCTGGACTGACCTGACCGGAAACATGAAATCGGTCGCCCAGCGATGACGCACGACGCCGGAACCGGAAGCAGAGGAAAAGGGTTGTAGAGCAAACCGGAAGGCGGGGTTGCCCTGGTGACTGTCCGGTTGCAGCAGTCCAGTGGGAGGCTGTCTTCCCCAGCCGGGTGTGGGAGAGGTTTTGCGAAGTTGAGCGACCGCCTACTGCTCCGTGGCCGTCCCCTTCGAAGCGCGGTGCACCGACCGTAACTGACTTTCCTGTCGCCTTAGTCTCCGTCCCTCTTTGTTTCCTGGGGTTACTGGGCTGTTTGATGGGTTATTCCATGTCTTCGCCATTAGATTGACAGGAAAGAAAATAATTGTGTATTAAACTCTTACGAGTAGTACACGTTTAAGTTTCAGAGCAAACTCTCAAGACTTGGAATTTATTCTGCCCACTTTACATTTGAGAAAACTGAGGCCAGTGGAGGCTAGCGAATGATGTGATTGAAGTCTAGTGAGTGCTAGAGAGGAATTCACCCAACTCCAAAGCGTTCAACTCTACTCCAAGAGGGCAGATCATATTGCCAAAGTAGCCCCTTAATCTGCCATAACCACATAGAACAACATATTGTTTATTAAATGCTAGTTACGGCTACATTGAGTGCCTATTATGTGTCAGGTGCTGGAGTAAAATAGTTTTGCAGGCACCGTCCCATCGAACCTTCACAACACAGCTATAATGCAGTTACAGATGAGGAAACTGAGGCTCAGGTAAGTAATTTGCTCAAGGTTATACAGCCAAAAGCAATAGGGATGGGCGTCAAATCCAGGGGCTCCTTATTCAGCGACTGTTCCCTGATCTGTAATCCATCTCCTTTCGAAAATCAGAGATAACTCGAATCCTTCTTCTAAACATCACCATTCACTGAGCTATCTCCTGCAGGTTATGCTTTAATTTTTTTGTTTGAGACAGGGTCTCGTTCTGTCACCCGGGTTGGAATGTAGTGGTGCAATCATAGCTCCCTACCACCCAGCGATCCACTCACCTCAGCCTCCTGAGTAGTTAGGACTAGAGGTGCACGCCACACCTGGCTAATTAAAAAAAAAAATTTTTTTAGAGGCAAGGTCTCACTGTGTTGCTCATGCTGGTCTGGAACTCCTGGGCTCAAGTGATCCTCCCGACTTACCCTCCCAAAGTGCTGGGATTACAGGTGTGAGTCACCACGCTCAGCCTAAATTCTTGTATTTTCATGTTCATAGTTATGAGTATTTACATGGGGAGAATTTCTAGAGAGGTAGAATTGCTAAGTCAGTGGGTGTGGGCACCGTTGATCAACATTGTCTAATTTTTCTCCATAATGTCCAATTTTATGTTTATGAACAATATGTGGGAATTTCTATTCTTTTCTTTTTTTTTTT